TTTTGTCTCGGGAACCGCGGAATCTAGAAAGCTGAGATTTTGGGGGACTGTTCCTTGCTCATGTGCGACTCCCCAAATTTAAATTCAAATCATTGAAAATCATTAGCAGGCAATCGTTCGGTGGACAGATAATAAATAGTGACGTGCACCGGCTGCCCTGGTGCGTGTCGCTGTTTATTATTTGTTGTAGTGTCTTTTGGGCAACTTGCGATTGAGAAATTCTTCTGTTTCAGAGTGGAATGAAAGTAGTCTTTTTGAGATGACACGCGCCCTGGAGTCCACTTCAGGATGCATATCATCTCAGAAATTGAAATTCTGGTTTTAAAAGCATTGTAGTACAGTGCTTCTGTTTGACACTTCACTGGACGGCGCGATTTTCTGGCCTGGATGGACAAAAATTGTGTTTTTTTGTTTGTGGGATGATAGCAGAATTCAAGGGACGTCCTGTGTTTTCGTTTCAGCGGCGTATACTGCTAAAACCAAAACGCGGTAAGAACAGAAGACCACAGAAGCAGAAGCGTCCGCGTTCTCGTACGCTCACGGCAGTGCATGATGCGGTGCTGGCGGATCTTGTCTACCCAGCTGAAGTAGTTGGACGAAGGTTCCGAGCAAAACTCGATGGGAAGCGCATTATGAAAGTGCATCTTGACAAAGCACAACAGACCACTGTTGAACATAAGGTGAGCCATGCTGCAGCTGACATAGATTTAGTAGTATGCAGTTGGGTATAGTAGTGTTTCTGAATAAGCAAGGAATGGAGGAAGTGAAGAAACTGCAGTCGTAAATAGGTATGGTGAGGAGTGGGACGTACATTTGCAGATCTGTAAATTTAGATGGCAAATGCTTTTGCACTTAAAGGCAGTTAGCGATGCACTCGGACTTGGCTTTGCGTTAGAAAAACTAATTTCCTAAGAGTTACTTCACTCGGCCCAGTGTTGAAAAATTATATCAACGAACCTCAGGACCACCCTTAGTTTGCTGCTAGCAGCTCTGTGTAGAGGTAGCCACTGCTGCTGTTTATTAGTTCTAGAATTACATCTCGTTGTTTCCATTCTTCGGTGCTGAAAATCTGACATGGTGACGACTGAACATGGAGGTTATTTGCACCTCTACATTACATACGAACCACGCGCTGTAAAATTGTCCATTTTTGGAATGAATTTTAACGCTCATGTCAGTTTTTCAGAGAAATTTTGTCACTGAGATTCAGTTGTGTAGGAACGAGCAGCGGAGGGGTGGGGCAGCGGCCTTCTTTCCTGTTTTTCTTGCACAAGAAAGGGTTGGAGTAGCTTTTGGAAGATAAGAAAATCTGCGAATAACTGAAAGGTGGAGCTCAAAAACCGTCTAAAATGAAATCCAAATGTATTGATAATGGCTATAA